GTAATTAGGCAGTAGGGTGCATAGGCTGCTTGACAGTCGTTAATCGCATCTTTTGTACCAGAATGTCCTACGTTTATAGTGTTCCTCTACCCTGACCTAAATCAGGTGTGTTACACACAGTGGATTTTCCATCTCATGAAATGCCAACCGAATTTTTGAAATGTATTTTTGATTGGAAAAAAAATTATTTGAGTTTGCTTCTTCTGGTGTTAATCATTCAGCCTAATCTCCAGATATTTCAGAAGCTTCGAGATGCCGGTATTTAAAAGAATCTTTTTTTCTGAACGCCTGTAAAAGCATTCTCTGTAATCTCACCTTTTGTACTAGGAAGGCCTACATTTGGAAGCAGTCGACATCTTATAGGTGGAAACACAAAAGACCCAGCCCACATGGCCTAGAAGTAGGTCAGGCCAAGAACGCTTGGCACTCTCAAAATGTGGGCTTTTTCTGGAAATTAATGGTTTCTAAAAAGCTGAATTTGAACAACTCACACGTTCCGCTTCAAATCCGTCGAAGCTGGGAAGACATATGACAGAACCGGTTAAATTTGTGTTTCACCTAAGATGGTTCAGTTTCCTCGACTAAAGATCGTCAAACCCCTGAGATTAATTTAAGAATAGTGTGTGTTCTAGTGAAAAGGTGATTTTTGGAGAGAGGGGGAACTTTTGTGCTAAGGAGCCACTAAATGAAAACGAAATTGGGAGGGAACGGGCGGACAGCGTCGTCAATTATCGAACGTGTTGCACAGGAGAGGTGCATGCGAAGTATGGTTGACAAGGCCGACTGACGGAAACCTCGGTCATGTCAAGAGCATGAAGCAAAGCGACTGGACAACAGGGCACAGCCGATGTACAGCTTTATTGGACTGTCAGCTTGCACACACAGGGAGTCGCCGACGGCCATTTATTAAGTGAACGCCGCCAACGTTTTTCGATCACCGCGCCAGTCCGTCCGCGTACAATCCCTTAGAGCCATCTCAAGGTCACTCCTAGTTGCCAGGCCATTATGGAACACCCACGCCAAACTCTATGGTCAAGCGTACCGTTGTTTCTGACACATATTACTCACATGAAGTAAATTGCTTAACGCATAAACCGCGAAAATCGAAATTTGAGTGAATGGTCAAGCATACATTTGAGCGTTTGTTCATTGAATTGACTTGAGGCGCAAAATGCTGTTTACTAGAAAATAGTTCACCTCAAATCAATGTATGCGGGAAAAAGTGGGTCAAATCTAACATTCCCTGATGTTTAAGGAATTTCCTACGGTATTGGAAGCTGCGAAAAAAAACGTTTGTGTATGCATGTCGTACAATGAAAGAACATTGATATAAGCCAAAAAGGTTCTAACTACATCTTTTCAGAGAATATAAAATTTCGTTTTTCCTTCATGAAATTCAAATAAATGCAAGTATAAGAAATCGCATTGTTTTATAAATCTGGTAGGTTTTGTGTCATAAAATTAAGTAGTAAACTTGTGAGGCTGTAGTCTGTTTTATCACACCGAAAATAAGGACCGTAAACAAGCATATACATGAACATCTGCAACACGCCGTCACTTTTCTCTGTCACGCCGTACGCAACAGATTTCCAAAAAATTCATATCTCCAGTTGAGCGTGAAGAACTACGGAAACGTAAAATGGAACGCGCAGAAGAGTACCCGTTTTCACAAAATTTCAGTACATACTCATACAACTGAAGTAGCCGCCTTACAGCGTGTGCTTCGTGTAGACGGTCAGAAAGGAGTTGGTCCAAAAGCCGATATCTTGACACGACTAAAATATTTGAAAATTAGGCTGTCTGATTAACAGTAATACGATTCCACTCAAATAATTTGTTCAAATCGAAAACATATTTTAGAATTTCGGTTGGTATTTCATGACATAGGGAATGCACTGCAATAGTCAGAACACAGAGCCTCAGAGCCCTCTAGAGTGTTATGGGAAATCATGCTAGTTTGGAAGGAGTTAGCGACGCCAAAAGTAGTAATAGTAGTAGTAGTAGTAGTAGTAGTAGTAGTAGTAGTAGTAGTAGTAGTAGTAGCGATCGCCCTGAACACCAACTTCTCGGTCCTTCTGAAAGTCCGCAAGATGGCGCTCTCCTATTGCGACCTTAGAAAGTCACAATCAAGATTGAGCGAGAAGAATTACAGTAGAATCCGTCTTTAGGACTAACTGTCATTCAGTAGTGAGTATTAAAAAAGCATTTGCTGTAGCATCCTTGCTCCGAAAAAACTAATTGACCAGCAGGATGTGCAACGGCAGGTGGAACCTCCAACTATGTGTTAGGGACGTGGACGCAGACTTGAGGGGGAGGGGGGCGGAGATTGACAGAAGCTGTCCCACTTACAGAAATATCCGCACAGAGTTTGCTGGCCGAACGGCGAACAGCTGAGGTGATTACGGGCGTCCGGCCATCACGATTCACCAGGATGGCGAAGAGGGTAGCCTGCTGGTCGGTGCAGCCTAAATACCGGCGAACTACCTTGATGACCTGAAAGGAAGAGAAGGAAAGGCGTGGGATAAAATCAGTAGTCAGTAAAGAAAAGCAGGCTCGAGTTGACAACATGGTTGGTACTGCTGGAAGAGGCAATAAAAAGTTCCGGATTCGCCTTCTTCCTTGTATCGGTGATCTTGACTCGGACATCAGAACTACAGTTTATGTCAAACAGGTCTGCCTCAATGAAACTCCGCTTTGCACGCATGTCACCATCGACGCCAAGGATGCGGTTATTACATTCAAGTTCAGAGGGGTGAGCTATTGGTTTTCGTTTGAAATTAGCTGCAACCACAATCGGGAAAAAAGTCATGATGTCAGCTAGGATTTTTTACCAGCTCACTGTCTCTAGGCAGTCGATAGTCAAAGGGGACGACCTTTAGGTTCTGCCCTCTGACTGGATGTTAAACTGACTTCCGAAGCATCTAAACCACTCTTCTTTCACATACCAGGCTCCGGCGGCAAGACAATGTTAGGAAGACCCTAGTGGTCGAAAAACTGCAGCGCTTGTCTGTGCGTTTCAAGCATACGACCTACATCCACTTCACATATACCGGGCTACATTTATGAAAGTCTCGAGTGAAAACATCATAAAGGCTGCACCAAGAAGGAGACATTACAATTCCACTCTCAGTCCTGAGAAGGAGCAATTTAGCTGGTCTGTTGGCAACTTTCTAAGCCATAGCTCATAGTGCGTCGTGGCAGATTGAAGCTCCTCGGATTTACTATGGGAAGAAATGGGTTGAGTTATCTTGTATGAGGTGGGATCCGAGTTGCTGCCTTTATCGTCTTGTTGTGTTTCAGTACTGGTCAAGTGTGCGACACGGAGGTCAAGGTTGTGCGAACTGGGATCCGTGCCACCGTTTCCAATCTTTGGCTGTCGTGCTAAAACCCTAGTCAGATGTTTGCTGAGGGGCAAAGATCATAGTGATAAGCTAAGACGCGGATTTTGCCGTGCTGACCACCTGCGCCAAATCCCGTCTCCGGTCTTTTTAACTCTGCTTTGGCATCTGTCTCGAGAGAATGTGAGGAGAGAAAGACATTGCGACAAATGCAACGTAGGTCTACTATCACTTAAAACTAATCCATGCGTAAGAGTCCCCGTCTCTGCACCACCACGCTATGGAGCAGACGGTGAACATCGTCGGAATCGACGGTAGAACTGTCGGATAGGCTTCAATGTCTGGCCCGCTCTCCCCTCTTCCACGTCTGTTTAAGGATTCGGTGATGGAATTGGGAGCAGTCGTTGACGCCGCATGATGCCTTACAGGAGATGGTCTGACACGTGCAATGTTTTGATCGAAATATGACTGAGTGGGTTAGCCCACACTTGGTCTTGTTATTTTGAGTCGCTGATTGGAGTTGAGACTCGGGACGCAAATTTCGGCATTTTGCCGGAGTTAGATAATCTATCATACGTCTTAGGCGTGCCACTAAA